ATACCCTTTGGAACAATAAATAATGTAGCATACAGTATAGGGCTCTCTTCAAGCAGTTGTTGCTTTTAGGATTGTACTTTTGAAGAAAGTTTCTGCTTCAGGGACTGCTTCATGACTACACACTGATTCAACAAAGTACTCAACAGATACATCTGAGACTAGCAGGTAATGCGTTTACTGTATTTGATTAATATGGCCAACATTTAAAAGACCAAAACTAGAAATTTCCAAACTGCTATTTGATTTTACCAGAACTGGATTAGGAGCATCCCTTTAATTGTCTCTTCTTTTTCTTCAATTATTCAAACTCTGTTTAGTTTATCTGTTTTCTCCTCACAGCCACTGTACCTTTAGTTTTTCAAATGCTTTTCTTCTCATCATTACATCATCTGTGTCCATCTCTCGATTGATGCAATGTGCATGCTTGCAGCCTTCGCAAAGTGATCCCGTTAGAGGGCTAATGCTGTGAAAAATGACAGTAAACTGGCACTTTTGCTGCCTCCGCCACCAGTTTGTGGCCACCTGCCGCCTACAGACCTGTTGCCTGGCAACTCCCCATACAGCATTTCTCCAAAAGGCGAGAACTTCTGTCTGCTGTGCTGCGATACAAGCCCAAGCCTAATAAGCATTATATCTCATTTTGTCTTATCGTCTAGTTGTTAGTGACACAAGTTAGCTGGGAGCTAAAACTATGCAAGGAGCACTGATGCAGAATGTGTCTCAATTAGTAGATTAATAGAAATATCTGCAGAGTAAACTTTCCACAGCATTGTTATTAGGAGAAGAGGTTATACAATCAGAATTCTGATTAAAGAACATAATTATGTATTTTACCCTGTATGACAAAGGTAGGTATAACAATCACAATACCTTTACCCAGTAACCTTCACATTTTTGTAAACATTTACTTTGATCATTCCATGGAGAAACCTTGAATACATTAAACCATAATACAATGTAAAGTGGTCAGTATACAGCTTGTGTAAATGTAAATTTAATGTTGCCTTAAAATAACACAAGACACAGACATTATTTAGACTTAGACAAACTTTATTGTTTATCCTGTTGCATACTACGACAAGTAATGAAAATGTAGTTGAAAAAAATAGTATTACAATATAAAGTGCAGCTTTGATAGGAATGTATCAGTGCAAGGAGGAAAACATTTGAAAATAATAAAGTGTGCAGAAGAATGAATGTTACTGTAGTAGTGCAAAAAAATAATTGGTGCAAAAACGGTCATAAAGTTCAGTTCTGTTCATTTGTGATTTAGAGCAGTTTAGGATTAACAGTTCAACCGTCTGATGGCAACGGGGAAAGAGCTGTTCCAGAACCTGCTGGAACTGCAGTGGATGCTGCGGAGCCTCTTTCAAGCAGGTTCTGGAAAAAGCTCTTTCCCCATTGCCATTTTCTAAATCACTGGCAATAAAAGTGGGTTACTCTGATTTTACAGTTAATGATTGTTTCTAGCATTAAAAAAATGGTAAAAAAAAAACTTTCTTGATAATAAAGTTTTCTTATCACTTTAAAACTGTTTTTTTTTTTCACATAAGACCTGACGTTTGGCGGAATTCTTTTTATATTTCCAATCATCAGATAAATAACTGATTATGACAATGCAACAAGTATAGTAAAAGCTTAAAACTTTCGAAAAGAAGTGAACAGTCAAATGGACCCAGTATTCAGGCGAGTCCGACAGTGGGAAGTTTCAAGACATTTATTGACGAAATATAAGAGAACAGAGACATAACAGAATGCGGGCTGCTGTGGATCTACAGACCTGCAGCGGCGGCAGGGGGTGGGGCACCACTGACACTCTTGAGGGAGAAACACAGGTAAGTGACCACGATCATCTGACCGGAAATGATTATCCATGTGAGTCACTTACCTGGTGTAACAGTTCAATCCATCCCCTCCGAGGAAGGCAGGATCCAGCCAATGGACTGCCAATGCGATTCGGTGTTGAGCCGCCCAGAGTTTCCCCGATGCAGCAACCTCTGTGAACAGGCAGGAAACTGATCCATGTCAGGAAAGACAGATCAGACAGGACAGTTCTGGGATCCAGGAGTCCGTAGCCCTGGAATTACAGGAATTAAAACTGGCCTTCCCCGGTCTCCAAACCAAAACCAGAGGGCTTCACGGAGAAGGACCAGAACCCCAGCTCCCCCCGCTAGCCGAGCCAAATCCCTGAGGGCTCAGCAGAGAAAAGACGGGACACGATCTAAATGACACAGAGAAAACCCTGACAACTAAAACGAAAAACTAAGAATAATGATCTGGCCCCGATAGCTGGGCTAAACCCTATATATAGCAGAGGGAGCAGGTAAAGTAGATGAATGACAATTCAGGTGAATGAATGTCAGGTGAATGAAGTGAGTTATCAGATCAGCTACCGGGGCTGCAATCATGACATAAACATTATTTGCTTTTCTTTTAAGCTCAACCTCTTCAAACTGAATGTCTTGCTGCAACAAAGAAGAAGTTACACAAAACAATGCAATGAAAACATCATCCTTCAGACTTTAGCTTCAGTCTCAACGCTATACCAACTGATTGTCCTTTGTAAGGAAATAAAAAAACCTTCTTACATGTGCATTATCTTCTGCCCCACTTATCAATGTCTCCAGCAACAGGATGACATTTACCCATTTTTATCCTAAACCTCACCTAAAGCTAAGGAGAACTCTAAACTCCATTCAGAGCGTATTTACAGATGCCAGTGACACAAACCATGCAAGGTTGCTGGGGAATTCTCAGAGGGGGTTACAAGAGTGCTTTGACAGAGCCTGTGATCTAACTGCCAGTGATTCAATCCTCCGTCTTTAATGTGTTCCTGTTTTGAGACATCAGGGCTTCTTTAGAGGCTGGAAAAGATTATAGAGTGAGTTGGATTTTAGGAATTAAAATCAGATGACATGACTTTCATATGATATCGTGATTGAAAAACAAATTTTTTGATATAGTATTGTCTTATAGAAAACTGCTGAAGTGACTGTACCAAAATCACAGACCGGTTTACATCCATAGATATGTGTGTAACCTTTTTGTACTTTTGGTTTGTACAATAAAATATTAAAAAATCTAAGATAATACATAAACATAAATAAACAATAAATCAAATTGTAAAGAAGAATATTTTCAATCATGGCAGGTTCGTGCCATGATTATTACCTTAAAAATGATTCAAATCTGAAAAGTAAATAAACAACATAAAAGTTGCCTAAACAACAATAATAAATACCATACACTAGGGCTGCTCAGTGCCGCAGTGGGTAGCACTGCTGCCTTGCAAGAAGGTTGCATGTTCGATTCCCACCCCAGGGTTTTTCTGCATGGAGTTTGCATTTTCTCCCTGAGCATACGTGGGTTTTCTCAGGGTACTCTGGCTTCCTCCCACAATCCAAAAACGTGACTGTTAGGTTAATTGGCTTCTCTGAATTCTCCTTAGGTGTGAGTGTATGTGTGAATGGTTGTTTGTCCTGTTTGTCTCTGTGTTGCCCTGCGATGGACTGGCGACCTGTCCAGGGTGTACCCCGCCTCTAGTCCAGTCTCTATTTCTGAACATCTAGGTCTTCAGAAAGGCTGCGTTTCCACAGCTGAGAGCAACAAAAAA